CTGCCTTTCTTTTCCCCCTCTGCCACCCTCCCTTGGCTCTTCGTCCCCATCCCTGCACCGGGATACAGCACCGATGGCAAATGCACTGCGAGGCAGGGTTTGGAGCAAAACTGCTCCAAAAAAAAAAGCACTGAGCTTTGCTCCAAGGGCAGAGGGTGGTTTTTGGAAGAGAAGGTCCCAATCCATCCCGGGTACCTTCTTTGGGATTTTCTCCCTTAAACCCCCCCAGTGGGACAGGGACAACAGCACCGCTCCAACACCTCCCCCTGCACTGCCCTGCTCCCAGCCCTGTGTCCAGGCTGGGATTTTATTCCAGAGCCATTGGGTCCCCATCGAGGCATCTCCAAGCAGCTGTGTCCCCAAGGGCACTGGGGACCACCTTTGGTCCAGCTGCTTTTCGAGGTGGGCAGCAGTTGCCAAACACAGGCAGAGGCAGTGGGATGAGGGGGTCTTTCCCTCCAGAAGCAAAGCTTCACGAGCCCACTGCCATCCCATGTGGAGGAGGCCCAGGCTTGGAGTGGCACAGAGTGGCAGGGACAAGGCTCTGCAGCTTCCTCCCCCCAACGAGGGTTTGCCCCAGCTCTTAGCACCATTTCCAGGCCTGGAAAAATCCGAGCTTGCCCCTCTCTCACTCCACTGCAGCTCATCCCCACCATGCCCCAAGTACCAACTGGTGGCACCGGGTCCAACAGCAGCTCCAGGGCAGCCGTGACCTGCCCAGAGGCCAAGGATGCTGCTGGGGCTGCATGATCAGCTGAAGCCTAGGAGAAGGGGCCAGGATCCGCAGTGGGGTTCCTGGGGTGACCGACTGCCCCAAAAGCTGCTCACTTCACCCCACAAGCAGCCACGTATCTTGTGCTGGGGGTCCCCAGCTCCCCCCAGCACCCACCTTGCTGCTCCCAGGGCAGGGACAAAGAGCCAAAGCCTCCAGCAGCTTGGGGTCTTGGCTCTGGACGGGGGCACAGGGCTGCTCCTCCAGCATGATGATGCTCCAGCACCTTCCTCAGCTGCACGGGGCCAGGGCAGGAGAAGGGAGAGCGGAGAGGAGGCTCCTTGTGGCCGTCCAGGCTCCCCCGCAGACTGCTGCCCGTTTGCTCTTGCAAAATATTAGCAAGAGGCTCCAGGAACGTGAAGAAAATCTCACCCAAAACCTCTGCCGCTCCTGGCTAGTGACTGAGGAATAAGCGAGACAAGATTATTTTTTTATTTTTGTTAAATTTTTTTTTTAGGGCCTTTGTTTTGTTTAGGGTTAACAGCAGATCGGCTTTTTCAAATCACTTCCAGACACACAGAAACCATGGCATGCAATACCCCACCGCTGCGAGGAGGCTGGGAGCCGGGCTCTTGCGCAACCCAGTGCCCCAAGTCTTCCTGACACTGGGATTCTCATTTCAAGCTGGGATCTGGGCACGTCTGTGGGGCTCGGGGACAGATACCCAGAGCTGGGGCATCTTTCACACATCATCCCGTTTGCCGGGGAGGGGGTCAGGGAGCAGGGACAGCGTTCAGGCAGATCCCCCTCTTTGCAAACGTGTCCTGAAGTTCCTAACTCCTCCATGCCAAGGGCAGGAAGGACCTTCAGACCACCTAGCCTGAGGCTTGGCACCACAAATCTCTGCTGGATGGCAGCCGAGCGAGCGGAGGGGTGACCTGGAGGTGGAGGACACGCTGCTTCTCTACCCCAGCCCCATCAGCACAGCTCAGAAGGCAGATTTTAGCCACAATCACCCGTTTTCCAGTGAACCCACCGTTCCTCAACAGTCCCTAGGCTGCCAGGCTGGGAACTTGAAAGCAAGGAGCCATTTCTCTCACTCAATTTCACTGAATTTCACTCCCCACTCTGAAATTCCCACCAGAAAATTGCCAGGGGAAGAAGGTTCGCCCTTGCCTTCACCCCAGGGCTGCTCCCGACCCCGGACAGGGGGATGCTGGCCAAAATACACGCCCGAAAAAAAAAAAAATCCGTAAGAAAAATAAACGCCAAGCCCCAAGCATCCCTGTCCGCCTGCAAACAGGCAGCCTGGCAGGCAAATCTAAACACTTCTCTGCCTCGGCTCGGCGGGGCTGCGGGGGGCGCGGGCAGGTCGCAAGGAGCCAGAAAAGGGGCTC